TGTGTGTGTGTGTGTGTGTGTGTGTATGCTGGTATTGGGGCTTGAACTCAGGGCCTGAATAACACTGTCCCTGAGTTTTTTGCTCAAGGTTGGCACTCTACCACTTGAGCCACAGCTCTATGTCCAGCTTTTTGGTGCTTAATTGGAAATTGAGAGTCTCATAGACTTTCTTGCCTGGGCTGGCTTCAGACTATGATCTTCAGATCTAAGTCTCCCAAGTAGCTAGGATTACAGGTGTGAGCCACCAGTGCCTGGCTAAAAATGGAAAGTCATGAGGCAGCCGACAGGAGCTGATCTTTAGGAGTGAATGGGCCAAAGGAAGAGGGATGGGCTGGGGGTCCAGGGCTGGGCTGGGAGGGCTCTAGGGAGGCAGATCTGACCTCACCCTGCCTGGCAGAGCTGCAGGTCGCCTTCCAGGAGTTTGATCGAGACCGGGATGGCTACATCGGCTGCCGGGAGCTGGGTGCCTGCATGCGGACGCTGGGCTACATGCCCACGGAGATGGAGCTCATCGAGATCTCCCAGCAGATCAGTACGTGCGCCTCAGACCTGCCCCATCCCCAAGTCTCCCAGATGTCTCAGCCAGAACCAGGGGCACTGGCTGCCAGGCTCAGAGGTGGCTGCAGAGGTCAGCCCAGAGCCCAGGGCCTCGTGGTCCTAAGAATGTCACCATATTCACCATCTTCTTTCTTTGCCCTTGGGCCCATCTATGCCGTGTGTGTGTGTGTGTGTGTGTGTGTGTGTGTGTGTGTGTGTGTGTGTGTGTGTGTGTGTGTGTGTGTGTGTGTGTGTGTGTGTGTGTAAGACCTGATTCCCAGCAGGAAACAAGGTGGCCAAGCCCTGGGCAGCAGAGGGAGGGAGGGACTGGCAGGAGGGAGGGGAGCAGGCAGAGGAGGGAGGGTGGGCTCGGCTGGAGTCTCTACTGAACCCCCAGGTGGCGGGAAGGTGGACTTCGAAGACTTCGTGGAGCTGATGGGTCCCAAGCTGCTGGCAGAGACGGCAGACATGATCGGGGTGCGGGAGCTGCGGGACGCCTTCCGGGAGGTGCGTGGGCAGAGGTAGCGGTTGGGGAGGGGCTGCCAGGAAGCCACCCCTGTCGGTGACCCCACACCACCCCCGATGCCACTACAGTTTGACACCAACGGGGATGGACGCATCAGCATCGGGGAGCTCAGGGCAGCCCTCAAGGCCCTGCTGGGGGAGCGGCTCAGCCAGCGGGAGGTGGACGAGATCCTCCAGGACATGGACCTCAACGGAGACGGCCTGGTTGACTTTGAAGGTACCTCCGGCTGCACTTAGCAACAGACAGACATCCTGGCAGGTTCTGAACCAACAGAGGACAGAGGGAGCCCCAGTCCTGAGTGCCAGACCCAGTGCCAAGCACACTGAGCCCCCGGGAAGAGGGGGGCTATTATTATCCCCACGGGGAGATGTTAGAAGTCAGTACTCAGGAAAATCTAGGTACTTAACAAAAGAAAATGCATGCAACCAAGACTGGAGTCTAGAGCAACTTGGTTCCTTCTCCACAAAAGAAAGTCAAAAGATTAATCGGAAATGCAAGGAAATTAGTGTATAAAAATGTCCTCCCACTGGGCACCAGTAGCTCCGCCTGTAATCCTAGCTACTCAGGAGTTCAAAGCCACATAGTTCAAAGCCAGCCCAGGCAGGAAAGTCCGTGAGACCCATCTCCAGTTAACCACCAGAAAACCCAAAGTGGTGCTGTGGCTCAAGTGGTAGAGCGCTAGCCTTGAGCTGAAGAGCTGAGTAACAGTGCCCAGGCTCAGAGTTCAAGCCTCACGACTGACCAAAAAAAAAAAGTCCTCTCCCCAAAAGTAGGTCCCAGAGCTTCTGAGTAGCCAAAGCAAGTAGGGAAATAGGTTTAGTGGGGGAATGACCTTGAAGCCCCTCTCCTCAATCACACTCCAGCACTCAAAAAACAAGCAGATTGGCCTCAACCCGAATGAGGCCAGGAGGGCAGATCCCTCAAACTTTGGCTTTTTTCCTGGCAGAATTTGTGCGGATGATGTCTCGCTGAGCCTGCAGAGCTGGAAGCACTAGCTAGGACTTGAGGACCATGGCGCCTCTGCCTATTCCTTGAAGTCCATCCTGTCCAGTCCTCCCCTCCTCCCTGTCCCTGTCTGGGCACAGTGCCTGTCTCTGCCTTCACCCCTCACATCTGTTTATTTGACAATAAATCTTCTTCAAGCCTGCAGAGACAGTGTCTGCCCTCAATTGCTTATCTTTCTATTATTATTTCTTTTGTAGGTCATGGGGCTTGAACTCTGGGTCTGGACACTGTCCTTCAGCTCTTCAGCTCAAGGCTAGCGCTCTACCACTTGAGCCACAGCACCACTTTGGGTTTTCTGGTGGTTAACTGAAGATGAGTCTCACGGACTTTCCTGCCTGGGCTGGCTTTGAACCACGAGCCTCAGATCTCAGCCTCCTGAGTAGCTAGGATGACAGGTGTGAGCCACCGGTGCCCGGCTCAATTGCTCATCTTATAACCTAGCATTTGGCTCCCACAAGTCCAGTCCTGGGATGGCCCTCCTTGATCACAAAGTCTCACCCCCATTTGTGATCTCCAAGCATGTGTGGATCCCTTCTTCTACTCCAGGCCCTGGGCCCCACCCAGGGCATGCAATAGGTCCTGTGGCAGGATAGATAAAACCCAGCTGGCTTCTGGAACCCACATGCACATATCTCCTACTGATCCCAGAGCAGGGCTCTAGGTTCTGGGTGATGGATTCGAGTGAGGAAGCGGTGGCTAGAGACACAGACGAGGGGATCTCCTAGGCCTGGGGACATTTCCTCCTCTTGTGCCCAGAAGGGGCTGTGCTGAGCTCCCTGCCTTCAGCTTCCAGGAATGAGTCAGCCTGGCAGAAGGACTGGGGGGGGGGGCATCAGGAGAGCCCTCTCCCTCTTAGGGCTGACATCCCACTCCTCCTGGGACCCCCAGTGCCACCTGAGCACAGCCACAGCGGGGGCGGGGGAGGATCTGACCACTCTGCTTAGCCTCAGCCTCCGCCCTTTTGTGTCGCTGGAATGGGTCTGGAACTCAGGGCTTAGGTGCTATCCCTTAGCTTCTTTACTCAAGGCTGACACTCTACCACTCTACTCGTGGCTTTTTGCTGGTTAACTGGAGTCTCAGGGATTTTCCTGCTCCAGCTAGCTTCAAACAAGGATCTTCAGATCTCAGCCTTCTAACTAGCTAGGATTACAGTCTGGAGCCACTGAGCCTAAATTCCAGACCTTCTGGAAGGTCCTAATCCCACCTTTTAAAAACAAAGCCTCAAAACTTAAACACTCTCAAAGAGCCTACCTCCTGACACTGAGGTGCTGGGAACTAAGCGTGAACAGGATTTTGGGTGGAGACTCAGACATTCAAGCTACAGCAGAAAGTCTACCGATTAGAGACCTCACAGCCCCAGGCCATCCCTCTTAAGAGCCAATTGCTTAAGCCAATTACTTAAGAAAAAAAAAGAAGTTAGGTGTCCGAGGCTCACACCTGTAATCCTAGCTACTCAGGAGGCTGAGATCTGAGAATCGTAGTTCACAGCCAGCCCAGGGCAGGAAAGTTTGTGAGATTCTCATCTCCAATAAACCACTCAGAAAGCCAGAAATGGTGCTGTGGCTCCAGTGGTAGAGTGCTCGCCTTGAGCTGAAGAGTTGAGGGACAGCGCTCAAGCCCAGAGTTCAGGCCCCATGATTGACCAAAAAAAAAAAAAAAAAAAAGGCAGCAGCAACTTGTCCCCTGGGCATTGGCATTGGTGGCTCAGGCCTATAACCCTAGCTACTCAGCAGGCTAAGAAGAATAGTTTGAAGCCAGTCCTGGCAGCAAAGTCCAAAGAGACTCTTATCTCCCATGAACCACCAAAACGCTGACAGTAGAGCTGTGGCTCAAGTGGTAGAGCACCAGCCTAGAGCAAAAAAAGCTAAGAGACAGCACCCAGCCCCTGAGTTCAAGCCTCAGTACCCGCACAAAATCAAACAAAAATGTCCCCTTGTGCGTGTCTTTTTAGGGCCTGGCTGTGATTTTCATGGTCTGCATGTCTGTCCAGCCCTTTACCTGGGACCGATGTAGGGCAATGAGAGACTGGCATGAAGACACATATGATTATGATGGATGCTGGGGCTGGCATCCAGGCTCAAGGACTGTGAAATGACAGTGCCAGTCAGGGAAGGCCCCTCCGTGCAAGCTGGACCCAGGATGGGGCTCAGCCTCTTGTAGCTACAGCAAAGCCCTGGCATGTGGCACCTGCCTGCGGCCCAGGGCAAGAGGGGTCAGTCACTTCTGAAGCGCTGGTCAGAACAGACCAGGGCAGCTGCCAGCTGGGAGCTGGGATGCCAAGGCGCGAGGATTGGCTGCAGCAGCCTGGGTGCCACCCCCCCCAGATCCCAATTAATCCTAAACCTCAATTAGGCGATCACCCCTGCCAAGCTGGCAGCCCGGGGACAGGGAGGGGGCACCCCATCACAGTGGCCTCCCAGGGAGTCTGACAGCTGGCACTGAGGGCATCTCTCTGCAGGGCAGGGGGCACTCTGGCCGCCCCGCAGGACTTAGCTGGGAGTCTTGGGGTTGGGGTGGAGCGGTAACTTGGGTGGTCTTCATGGTGCCTACAGCCCCCCCACCCCCAAATGATTCCTAATCCACAAGGCCTAGAGGGTCAGTACCCGGCAAGGGACATAGGCAGGCCCGAGATCACAGAGCTGGGAGCCCCTTCCCCTGCTAAGGTGGTCCCGCCCCTGCCCTGCTCTGCCCCCTGCCCTGCTCTGCCCCCTGCCCTGCTCTGCCCCCTGCCCTGCTCTACCCCCTGCCCTGCTCTGCCCCCTGCCCTGCTCTGCCCCCTGCCCTGCTCTGCCCCCTGCCCTGCTCTGCAGCAAGTGGAGCTACTGCATCTTCTGATTTTCCACATTGTAAGTTCAGCTGTACATGAAACCTACCACATACGTTTCTTTTTTTTTAATGTTCACATCACACTGGCTCTGGGTTGTTTTTTATTTCTTCCCGGTGCTTGGGTTTGAACTTAGGATTTCATGGTTGCTAGGCATATACACTACAATTGAGCCACACCCCCAGCCCATGTGTTTTGAATGTAACTTGTATTCAGTAGGTGTAGGAATTTTTGTTGTTTGGTTGTGTTTTGTTGTTTTGGTTTTTTTTGTCTTTTTTCTTTTTTGGTACTGGGGATCGAACCCAGGACGTTGCACTTGCTAGGCAAGCACTTTGCCACTGAGCTACATCCCAGCCCCTGTGTTTTGTTGTTTTTGTGACCATACTAGGGCCTCATGCTCTTGCCTGTCTTTTTCTCTCTAGGCTAGCGCTCTGCCACTTGAGCCACAGCGCCACTTCCAGCTTTTTATTGGTTAATTGGAAATAAGAGTCTCGCAGACTCTCCTGCCCGAGGCTGGCTTTGAACCTCAATCCTCAGATCTCAGCCTACTGAGTAGCTAGGATTATGGGCATGAGCTACCAATGCCTGGCGGAGTCTAAATCTTAAACATATACAGTTCAATGACTTTTTACATGTATGTATCCACGTAACAATTACTCAAAATGACTATTACATTCACTTTATTTGGAATTGTTTTAGGCTTACAGAATTACTGTGAAGACAGTGCAGAGAATTACCTGTAAAGTCTTTGCTCAGCTTCCTCTCTGTAGTAATCAGTATTTTCCGGAGGAACAAAGACTAGTGGTGCTGTGGCTCAAGTGGTAGAGCCCTTGCCTTGAGCTGAAGAGCTGAGGGACAGTGCCCAGGCCCAGAGTTCAAGCCCCACAGCTGACCAAAAAAAACAAAAAACAAAAAACAAACAAACCCAAAACAAAGACAATAAGAAGCACTAATGTGCTTCAACTGAACTTGGTGCCTGACGCTTTGCTCATTGGCTGGTACTCTACCAACTAAACCACGCCTCCAAACCCCTATTGCTATCAACTGACCAATGAATGGAGCTGATGTATAAAAAGACAGGGAAGCGTCAATGGCACAGTTAGACAGAATGACTAAGTTCAGGTTTCCTGCAGCCCAGTAATGTGAGTTCATGACAGTTCACAATAATGTGAAATACAGCCTTGGAAGACAAAGAAAGGATACCTTGGGGTCTTGACTTTAAACCCCAGTACTGCCAAAGAAAGAAAGAGAAAAGAGAGGAGAAAGGAAGAAAGGAAAGAAGGAAGGAAGGGAGGGAGGGAGGAAGAGAGAGAGGGAAGGAAAGTGTTTTGCTCTACTATCCTCTGTGGAGACCACTCAGCCTCTAGCGCCCCCTGCACGGAGGTTCTCTCATATACTGCAGAACAGAAAACATCTTTAGTCGCTTCCTGATTTCCATCCTGACATCCACCAACATCCTAGATGATTTATTTTTTTCATTTTGTGTGTGTGTGTGTGTGTGTGTGTGTGTGTGTGTGTGTGTGTGTGTGTGTGTACTGGAACTTGAACTCAAGGCTTGAATTCTGTCCCATAGCCTTTTTTTCTCAAAGCAGGTACTATACTACTTGAATCATAGCTCCACTTCTAGCTTTTTGGGTGATTATTAGGAATAGGAGTCTCATGGATTTGTCTGACTAGACTGGCTTTGAATCACAATCACATCTTAGCCTCTTGAGGAGCCAGGATTACAGGCATGAGCCACCAGCGCCCGGCCTGTTTGGATTTTGAAAGCCCAGTGTTGCAGGCTTAGTCCCTAAGCTCCTAACGCTGTTGCCAGTGGTGGGAACTTTTGAAGGTAGGGCCTGTTGGGTGCTCATCTCTTCTCCCATGCCATGTGCTCCCTGCCACAGCGGTTCCTCACCACAGGCCCAAGTCACCATGCACTGAAACTAGGAAACAAACCTTTCCTCCTTAGAAGTTACACTCTCAGCTATTTCTTCACAGCAAATGAAAGATGACTAGCAGAAAGGGCATCTGGGTGCCTCTGGTTTGGGCGATTATAAAACTCCTCTCAACAAGTCCATGCTCCTTATGGTGGGGAAATATGTTTGCCAATCACTTGGATCAATACTTAGGAGTACAGTTGCTGGGCTGCAGTGTATGGTAATATTTAATCCTTGGGAGAAGCCATCCACACACCTTCCACGTTCCCACCACAGTGAACGCAAGCTCCTGCTGCTCACTCCCCCAGC